GTATGATGCAAATGCCGCTATGATTCCGAATGAAAGTTGAGTGTATGGCGCAACTCAGAAAAAGGTCCCCTACTACTGATGTTGTTCTGGATGTTTTTATTTCGAGTCCTACGGTCAACTAAATCTTCAACCTCCATGTTTTATGGTATCAGGCTAGTGTCAAATGTTAACTCGCAGACTTGATTCTTGGGCGCTTACGTGAGAACGGAGAGCTATTGCGGATTCCGTGACCCTATGAAATGAATATATGTAGGCTAATATCGCAAGATACGGGCACGTTCCTAGGACTAAACCCAGGAGAAAAAAAAACTTCGAAGAATATGGAAACGACCACTCATCCTGGAATCCCTTTTCCATGCCAACGGCTCAGTTTCGATGTCAGAAAAGGGAGATGTTTTGTGCGCTTTCAAATACAACACATGGTCATCACAATGTTCCCGCGTATTGCGATAGCACTCTAACTGACTGAGTTAACAGGAGTTTTTTTTTTCGTTAGTGCAGCTGTGAATCTTTTATGTCACAATTAATGAGTACGTCTACACAATCATAAGCCGATAATATACTACATGACGACTAATCCCACTGCTCGTTCGGAGAACACACTTTTTTTGACGCGTGGGACAATGCAGCTTGATGAGGGGATGCAACATGAAAAACCCTTTTGCGCAGGTTTCCAATTTATTACGACAACATATTAGTCAGGAAGGCAGTGTTATACTTATGTTAAGTGAGCCGTACAATCGTTCTCCGTGGATGTTTCTCTGGGAGTATCCAAAAGTAATTCTCTGAAGTTAAAATATATACAGCTGGCTTTTGTTTGCTTTGCTGAAGTACTGAGCCATTTTTTCATAGAGAGAAATCTGATCCTATTCACGGATTCTGAAATGGAAAATTGAAGTTTTCCTGGCGCTTTCACAATATGCGTAGCCATTCCCTAACCATGAGCCAAGGCTTAGGGACTAGAGCTCCGGGAAGTATGAAGCCCTAGGATCTCACCCCCCCCCCTCGCCCCTCTCCCAGGTCTTAATCCTATTCATAACAAAAAGACATGCTTGACACAGTTCAAATGCGTTGCTGCCTCACTGCTCCCGTGTCTTACGATAGCGCCGTATTCCTAGCTTGCGCCGGAATTCTCCCTGGACTCGAAAACGTTGTAGTTTGCTTTGGAGACAATCGGCAAGGATTTGAGACGTGCTAAATCTCAATAATTTCTGCATAGTGACCCAACATTTTTGGTATAAATCGGTTGACGGCATTGTGACGCATTTCCCGATATTATATTATCTATTTTACAATGCTATTTTTGGCAGCCCTATGCGACAGGCTCCGAAGAATAGCATTGTCACCGAGGTGTTAAAATAAGCTAGAGCTTCATGCGCTTGTCAATCCACTTTCTGGGATGGGCCACACATCCTTCGTGCATTCAACACAGTGGCATTGAATGGGGTTTGACCCATCCAGTATATCAGGCTATGCACAATAGAGTTTATCTTCCCTGACAAGGCTGGCAAAAGTAAGGAGAGATTAAGAGGTTTAAGAGGCTTGCTTATCCTGATAGGTCCGAGAGCAAGGACTAGACCCCGACTGTGTGCGTGGTAAATAATGCGCATCCACGTCACCTCCGCCCCTTTTACTGAACGGTATTTGAAGCAATGGCATAACTACAAGGTTGTATACTTTAAAGACGAATTCACGATTAGGAAGGTCGAAGAAGGAGTAATTCACCTAGTTGAGGGACCCGCGGACCTCCTGAGGGTGCGGAACTGAAGCGCAATTGGCACCGAAGGAGTTGACCTCGGCGACCTATTAAGGCTCAATCTTGGCGCGGTGGGCCAGTGCACGCCCACCGATCATCTGATCACTCGCCGCAGGTCTATACGTGGCGAGTGATTAGATAGGTGAGAGAGCGTAGTGTTGAAGAGGGCACAGCGATGAGAGTCGCATCAATGCTCAAATCAACGGGCAAGGAAGGGGTCCCATTTCTCGGGTTCTGGGCCGTTTCTCATGGTTCTTCCTTTGTGTACCACTCACCATCCCTAAGTTAATTTGAAATGGGTTGCTTTCCAGCGTGAATTCGTCCTTTAAAGAACCACCCACTACGAATCCATTCCATAGCCAAGCTAAGCTTCTGGGAGTTTCAGCTCTCCACATCCGTACATTTTCAAGTAGAACCCAAATTCCCAATTCTCAGGGTTAATATTTAGCCCTTTCCATTCACAACTTCCATTGCAGAGTGTTCGACGTTGGTGGCCAACGTTCAGAGAGACGAAAATGGATTCATTGCTTCGACAATGTGGAGTCAATCATATTTATTACGGCTATTAGCGAATACGATCAAGTGCTATTCGAAGATGAAACGACGGTGAGAAGAACTGATCTGATTACTAAGTCTCTGTCTTTTTTATTCAATTCGTTGAAACTAACCATAACGTATCTACACCATCCCTTTCGAAATACGAGAAAAGCGTCGGGTGCAGACCACACACCACAAGTGACGACGGCCTCCACAAAATGTAAATTTTCTGCCAATGAAATGATTAGCCTGTTGCAGTTGTATTCTATCAGTTGTCACTAATTACAACTATCATTTACCAAAATCAGCTATCACTATGAACCACTACTAACCAGATTTACTTGGAGGCCGTCGTCACTTGTGGTGTATGGTCTGCACCGACACTCTTCTCGCTTTTGAAAGGGAGGGTACCGAGGTAAGCAAACCAGCCCTTTTGGCGTTTCGGCTGGGACCGTATGCTGAATGTTGGGGAGGGGATGGGGTCCCCAACGGTCGACGGTTTACTTCAACTCGGTTGGTACGATAGGAGAGTACTGACGCAAGTGGTGCAGCTGGTCCAGCAGCTCCGCCAGAAGGGCTGGTTTGCTCACCCCAGGACTAAGCCTTGGAGAGGGGACGGACCCGTCCTCTCTTTAAGGCTTAGTTCTGAGGTAAGCACCAAATTGTGGCGGTTCTAAGGACCGAGTTGAAGTGGTCCGTCCACCGTCGGGGACTCCATCCCCTCCCCAACATTCAGCATACGGTCCCAGCCGAAGCGCCAAAAGGGCTGGTTTGCTTACGTCGTACCTACCATATAACGTTCGCTTCTCTTTCTTTTCAGTGGTCAAATCGCTTTGTTTCTACCATGATCACTCAGCAGAATAAGGCCCAGACATGAAGCCATCATCGACGGGGATTGTCGACAGTGGCACGACAGGCCCTAAGTGGTGAAAAGGGTCACAGTAGCGATATGTGATGAATAGCGTAGAGTAGCGCGAGTTTAGCGATTTGACAGTTACACATATCCTCTCAACTCAATTTTGAAGTCTTTTTTGGATGGGATATAGGCGGAGCTCGAGTGTGTAACGTACTAGATTAATCACACTTGGCACCATACACCAGGAGGAGGAAATCACAGG